GATGCTTATTCCAAATGGGCACTTGTTAAAAATCTCAGGTTCCACCCCCCATCTTATGAGTTAGGATCTGTATTTTTACAAGATTATCTGAGAATTCATAAAGATGTTTTTTTTAGATATTTTATTTCTATATTTATTTATTTTTTAGAGAGAGGAAGGGAGAGGCATAGAGAGATAGAAATCCAATGAGAGAGAAAAATCATCAATCGGCTGCCTCCTGCATGCCCCCTACTGAGGATAAAGCTTGCAACCCAGGCATGTACCCTAACCAGGAATTCAAATGGTGATCTTTGGTTCCTTGATCGATGCTCAACCACTGAAACACGCAGGCCAGGCCATAAGCATGTTCTTAACCTTTACTACACATTAATATTTTAACAAAACAAAACAAAAAGCACCACTAGGGATAGCTTCAATTGTTTTGGGGTAGAATCTAGTTCTTGTTTTTTTGGGAAAACTCAGGTGATTGTAAATGCTCTGCACCAGTGGTTAATCTTCACTTTACATTCAAATCATCTGCAGAACTTAAAAAACAAACAAACAAAAACCAAACCCCTCTAAGCTACATCCCAAACTAATCTGATTCTAAGATGCAATTAAGATGCAGACCTACTGCTCTCTAATAAAGATTGACTATGGGCTTCTATTATAGAATAAAGCTAAGAAAAAAAAAAAAAAAAGACTTCCAACAGCTATTTCAAGTCCAAGGACCTCTGAGGGTTCTATGTAAGATGCAAATCTAACTTGCCAGGTAAGTGCAGATCTAACTTAAAGGTAACTGGAACAGTTGAATGACTGCCAAGTGTTAAACTCAAAGGAAGATGGAAAGTCTAATGTTGCCTGTAATTTGCCTAACTTCAGTTTAGTTCAAGACTTTGATAGAGGAAAATTGATGCTTATTCCAAATGAAAAATAAGTCTCTTAAGAGAAATGTCACATCTTTACTTACCACCATTCCAATATTGTTCTGTTGCCCACCAGTTGCCATCTCCACACATTCATCTATCACAAGATTCATAAAGGGATCAAATCCCCGTAATATTCCTTGGACATGTCTGCCACCATTTAATTTCACTATAAAAAAAGGAAAATGAAGTTTTAATAAAACTGGGCATTAACTATCAAGTATTCATTAAAAATTAGATGGAGCCCAGCTGATGTGGCACAGTGACTGAGCGTCCACCTATGAAACAGGAGGTTCCGGTTTGATTCCGGTCAGGGTGTGTGCCCAGTTTCCGGCTTGCTCCCCACTGTGCAGGAGGCAGCAGACCAATAATTCTCTCTCATCATTAATGTTTCTATCTCTCTCCCTCTCCTAAAAAAAAAAAAAAAAAAAAAAAAAAAAAGAAATTAGGTGGAGTAAAACCCAGGTACATGAGATGTGCAATCCACTATCCTTACTATATGCTAAGCACTGGGCTAAACATTTTACATTTACTTCCACATTCAAACTTACAAGAATCCTGTAGAATTATCCCAACTTTTTACGAGGGAACTGAAGTATAAGGCTTTTAAAAGTAACTGGTTCAAGGTTATACAGCTATTGTGTGGTAGGGCTTGGATTCAAACGGAAAGTTGCTTACCTATCTCTAAAGCCATGATCTTAACCCCTACAAACTTCAAATACTATGCAGGTCAGATTTTTAGTTTTTGTCTATGTTCTTTGTTTAAAAAAAGATAAAATTTCAAATATCACAAAATAGAAAAATCCTGTTAATTTTGTGACAGTGAGGGAGGGCTTATATAAACTTTTGAAAAGTCTGAAGTTCTGTGCAATTTATTAAATTGCAAAAATTAGGCAAATAAAACTGTCTAGTTAGGATTTTGCTAGACCTGCTTCATACGTCAGAGGCTCTGTGTGCTTTGAATCTTTATAAAGTTGCTCCAAACACTGTATACTGCCAAGACATTTGTAAAGACCAACTGAATAATTAAAAACAAAAAAGAAAACTTACATGACAACTTCTTGTCCATAAATCTGAAATAGCAAAGAGATAAAGATTATAACTACTAAAATTATATTTACACAATAGGAATAACGAAATTTAGTACTTATACAAAGCAATGTATTTTAAGAAGAAGCAAGATAATAAATAAAATGGAATAGGTTTATAATAAATTAATGTACATTAAATTGAGTCTTTATACTGACGTGAATTACAAAAACACTCTCGTTGTTCAATACTGACCTAATTTCCTATGGCTGGATTTTATAGCCATAATAGAATAACAAATATTTTATTTTATTTTGGTTATTTCGAAAACCAAACAAAATTTTGAAGAAATTAGAAGTTGTAATCAAACCACATCCAATCCAATAGCTATATTTGAGACAATAAGTGGTGTTTTGTTTAATATTAAGGTTTTATTCTTCAATACATAATGATAGTTTAGCAAAATAATTGCATATTTTGAAGATTTAAACAATTTAAACCAGAAAATCCCATCTCAGCAGAGTACAATATCGGATCTAGTACAGGATGATTAACAAAGGGTTCGAGATCTTCAAGTCACGGGGGAGAGCGTGGGGGAGACGTGGGGCCTCGGCCAAATCGGGGAAAGCCAGGGGCCTAAGCTGCCTTGGGTAACCATGCCGACCCAGCAAAAAATGCGATTTCTGCGCGGGTTCAGGCCCGGAAGCGTGGGACCCTGGCTGGGACCTGCGCGGCCGAGGACCCGAATGCGCACGCCAGGCGCACTGACGGGAAATGGAGGGGCATACAAAGAAGCCGCCAATCACCCGCGGCCCCCGCAGATACTTACTTTTTTAACTCGGGAGGGTGAGCTTTGCTCATGGTGGCGAAGCGAGCTCAAAGATACTTCCAAACGGAATTAGGGGCAGCTCTGGCGCTCCCGCGGTAGGCCCGGCGTTTTGCGTCTGACTTCACCGATCCGTTAGCCAATCGGTTGCCGGCAACTTTCACATTTCACCTCGCGATACTAAGGGGAAGCCTGAGCGTGTAGACTAGGCCCGAGCTTCCGGTTGCGTCGCCAGCGATTGGCCAGGGCAGAGGGGTGTGGCCTCGCGAAGTCCTTGATTTCATTTTCTCTTCCGTAAGATTGAGATATAGGTCCCGACTCTACTTTTTAATATATTTTATTGGTTTTTTTACAGAGAGGAAGGGAGAGGGATAGAGAGTTAGAAACATCGATGAGAGAGAAACATCGACCAGCTGCCTCCTGCACACTCCCCACTGGGGATGTGCCCGCAACCAAGGCACATGCCCCTGACCGGAATGGAACCCGGGACCCTAGAGTCCGCAGGCCGACGCTCCATCCGCCGAGCCAAACGGGCTAGGGCAGGTCCCGACCCTTTTAAACAACACCAGTTAATCCCTAATTTTAGTGGATCGCGTCGTTTATTTTATTAACATCTAGCAAATGAAAATAAGCTCTAGATAGGTGGGCCCCTGATAATTTTTTGGAATGTATTCCCACAGCATATTGCTTGCTAAGCCTGGGGTTCCTTTAACATCGCAATTAGTGACCTCTGCACCAACAAGTAGGGTGACATGCCTCAATTTCCAATAATTTGAATCCAGAGCCCGGAAGTAGATTCCCGATGGGATGGTCTTGCTATTCTTGTAACACTGCCTACGGATCCCTACTTAAATGTGAAATGTACCTTGATCCCATACATAAAACATGAAGCACAGCACACAAACTCTCCGAGGTATTGATTTTCAAGTCAAAAGTGTTAAGTGTAAAAAGTAGTCTCTGACTTGTTCTCAGTTAACTTACCCAAAATAGGGGAATCCACATTAATGAATGAAATACAATAGGGATTAGAGAAGACTTGGACCAAAATAGAAAAGCCTTGGTGATTCTAAGTACTGGCTGGTTCTCTTAAAATTGAATTCATTCCTAATATTCAGGAATGGCTCTACAGGGGTGGGCAAAAATAGATTTATAGTTGTGAGTACACGAAACAGTCTTTATTCTTATATTATTATTTATTAATTATTGTATTTTCCATATGAACTGTAAACCTACTTTTGCCCACCCCTGTATTGAAATGCCAATGATAGTAAAGACTTAGTTAAACGAATATATTTTGTATTCTCTTGGTACTCAAAATCCTAGACACTGCATCTTCTCTTGAGGGGTCATAACAGTATCTTTTCTACCTCCTGCTGTTAGTGTTTAGTTGAAACTAGAAACCTGATATATTAGTAGATAATGAATCTTTTTTTTAGTTTTATAGTTTCTATCTTTTTACTAGTACATTAATGGACTTAAAGTAAAAGTGCCCTAGTCTGCCCTTGAAATTTTTCCCATTTACAACAACCAGGTCCTGCATCCAAACCATAACACATAATTTTCACTCTTCTGGACCTCATAAGAAACTTATTTCACACATTACAAGGAAAAGCATTCTTAGAAAGTTATATATTCACTGCCCAGATATAAAAAACACAATAGTAGAGGAAAATTAAACCTTATTTATATTTTAAAACCAGACCATTAGGAAAATATATCACAGTCTTGAAACGGCAAACAGACAAGCTATTTTATCATTTCAAGTAATAAGTTGGTAAAAAGACAGCAGCTCCTTATCAAAACAGTAAGGTGCCAGAGCTGGGGTAGGAACACTGTATGTTGCAAAGGGCCCGGCAAAAGTGGTATTTGGTAATGGGGGGCTGCCCTTCTTTTTTCTCCCTTGCTCTTCCTGTTGCCAAAAGATTGTCTCAGTAGGGCTCTGTTATTTGAGGCGGCTACGTAAGCAATACTGGATTCAGGTTTCATTCCTGAAAACCAGGTTTTTCCCAAATCCAGTACTTCATAACTCTTAATGAAGCAGCAACAGTTCCTCTCTCACTGTTTATTCCTGGATATTGGTATACAGCACAATCAAAACCCTCTTGCCCTTCAAGGTGGAGGACCACGGCAAGATTGTCCCGTCACTGCTGCAGACGGGCTTAGGACCCATCACGGCAGCCAGTGAGAAGGAAGGTCTGCTTCCATGTCCAGGGTGACATTGCCTCTCATGTTTCTGTAGGGTTTCCGAGCTGGAAGGTGTAATGTGTGAGCACTTAAATGCATGTCCACACCTTGGACAGAAACGATATCTATCCAAAGGAACCTTTTCAAGTTCTTATCCAAACTCCCTCCCTCAACTCCACATCTTAAATGAACTTTATGCCCTTGTACCTAAAACCAAACCAAACAAAACAAATACTCAGAAACCGTTTTTCCACTTCTCAATTAGTAACCTCATGGGTTTTGTTTCACAGCTTATGGACAATGGTGTGGTAATGCTTCTGGTAAACAGGAGGTTGGCAACAAACAGAAACACCTCTCCTCCCCTCCCACCAGACCACTGGCAGGTTAGAGGACACTGTCAGCTTGTCGGTACCTCAGAGGGCTCTGGCTTCATATGAGGGAAATGCCTGCTGCCAGGATAAGCATTTGCCACATAAAATTTAGGCTCTCAAAAACTCTCTGACCCAAACTTTAGCACCAGTTTTTTCCCCCATTTCACTTTCTAGGATTAAAACATAAAAGAACCCTGTCCAGAGGCAAGTGACACATGCCTTAAACTTGCTGCCATCCTTAATTTCTTCATCCCTAAACTGCTTAAAAGACCAACATTCGCACTCTTCATTTTAAACAGGTTCCTGCCCTCAGCCTCCATGGCCAATGGCAAAGACTGCTATTTCTGAATGGATGAGAGAGACTCCTTCATCTTCTTGGTCAAGGTGGGAATGAGGTTCATATGGTCATCTACGCACTTGGTCACACAACTCTCCAGCTGCCGCTTCACCTGACGCTCTTTACTCCCTGCATCTATGGAGTCTTTGGCTTTGTCGTTGCAATGCATGGTGCACCGGGCCAGGCGGTCCTGTGGCAAGAAGGAAGAGAACAGAGAAGGCTAAGAAGTTGGCCTCTATTTACCGAGTGCTTATCACGTGCCAGGCCTTGTGCTACATACAGGTAAGTCCTCACTTAATGTTGTCATGGAACTGCAGTGAAACGATGTATAACGATACCAAGTTTACCATAGGCTAATTTGTATACAGGAGTCAAGTTCCTCTGGTTTCTTATCCATGTTATAACAAATGACGTTGTTTGAAGACCTGCTGTGTTTTGGCTTGACATGTATTATCCTGATGAATTAAAGAGACCCTATGGTGAAATTAACCAGGATTATCCTGATTGAAACAGAGGGTGGCACCAGAAGGGCCCAGACAAAGCATTACTAGAAAGCAGGTAAATGACAGAATAAATTGTACAGAAGCCCTTTCCAGGAAGTGAGAAGTAACTAGAGACCAGTTACTCAATTACAGAAAGACTTACACACATCTTGATTATTTAATGTCTGTCCTTGCTATAGAAAAACACTCAACAATTACTTATTGACTATCTTCTGTGTGTCAGATACTCTCCTAATGGGGGATACAGCAATGAATAAAACAGATAAAGTCCTTGCCCTTATAGAACTTATATTCACTAAGGGTAGATAGACCAACAAAATAAATGAGTGGAGATGTTGAGGAAACCGCTGGATATATGAATTTGGAGATCAGGAGTGGAGTTGGTCTAAAGATATGTAGTTGTCAGCAAATAGATGATAATTATAACCATGAGACCAGAGAACTAGATAGAAAAAAGGTTCAAGAACAGCCCTGGGGAGTCCCATGTTCAGAGGCTGGAAAGGGGAAAAGCCGGCAAAGGGGGTCGTAAAAGGATGGCTAAGGAGAGAGGTAGAAAACCAGGAAAGTGAGGTGTCCTGGTAGCCAACTAAATAAAGCATTTCAAGGAGGGCAAAAGTGATGCACTGTGTAAATGACGCAGATAAGTTGAGTGAGATGAGGAATGAGAAATGACCACTGGATTTAGCCCAATGGAGAGGAGTAGCAAGAGCAGTTCTGGCACAGGAGAAGAGTAGGCCTTAGTGGAGAGGGCTGAAATGTTCTACAGCAGTTCAGGAGTCAAAATTTCAAAGACCCTATTTATAAAATTAGGTGTCAAAATAAACACAAAAATCTTTTGGATTTTCATGATTTTGGAGACATTATTCTTATCAGCAATTTTAAATAATTTTATGTAGCAGAATATAAAAATGTATCACATTAGATATAATTTATCCATGTGAACAGAATCCCAGACTATGAAGAACTGAATAGAAATGGGCCCTGCTTCCCCCAAGTTCCAGAAAAATATACTCAGAGGAGGGGAGTAAAATGAAGTTGTGATTACCCTTTGCTCCAGACAGGGATTTGGGGGACTCCTAGTGACCTCAGCGGGGCTTGTGAGGCAGGGAGTCAGCAATAATAACGCTTCATATAAATGACTGCTCTTTAGTGACATGGGGGCTACTTTCTGTGTGTAGCAAGTAGGGGCTACACCCAGAGTGTGTAAATCCATAAGATGATGGTAGGATCTTGCTCTAATCTGTACGCTTTAAGACTAGTCTATTCCACTTTCCTGGGGATTCTGCTATTATATGAATGAATGAATATATGTTTTAGAAAGATCTGTACTATACATACATATTATATTTGGTAACTACAGAAAAAAAAAAGCATAGGGCTCTTGGTTACGAACTCCCTCCGTAACTCATTGTTTCTATGGGAAATAAGCGCTCGATCTCCAGTATTGTGTCCAAAATTTCAAACTCTGTGAAGACTGGTTGACCGTAGCACTGGGATATTGCTCACCTGGAACTTCTCCAACTCGCTGGTAACCAGGGCCTGGGCTTGAGCCAGAGGTGCGTGGCAGCGCTCAATGCACTGGTGCACCTGCTGCATGGACGCCTGGCTGTCCTCACAACAGTCAGCGCTGCACCGGAACATGAGGCCCTGGGAAGGGAGGGCAGAGAGAGGTCAGGTAGGGACAGAGATGACCAATGAAGTGCAACAGGGGTTAGGGGGAGGGTCTACATATTTGCACCTCTCCTCAGACCAGCCATCGGGATGTTAAGACCACAAACGGGAAAACTATCCTCAGTGCCTCGCAGAGTGTTTCATAGCCTTCTTGCTTCTATCTCAGTGGCAACTGTTGCCTCCAGGGCTGGGTGGACACGGAGGTGGCGGTGGGTCAGAGGAAGCCAAATTCTGAAAACCAGGTGCCTATACCACAGAGTTCAGAGGCCAGCAACCTAGTAATTTAATCTAAGTTGCACCAGGGGGCAACCCATCCATTAATTAATGGCAAGGGAAACTCACAATCCTGTCAGGGAGGCAGGACCAACACCACAAAATATCAGGGGATCAAAGCGGAACAACATATAAACCAGCGCTTGGTGCCCCGAGACCTGGCCATGACCTGGCCACCGAGGGGCGGAGCACTCTCGCCTTTCCGTCCCTCACCTGGGCTGGGCTTTCCCCGCGGGCAGCGCCCGTGCACAGGGGGCCGGGCCGGAGGGGAAGGTGGCGGGGCAACACCTCACCCCGGGGCTCGCTAACCCTGGTCCGGCCCCCTTCACCCCCGTGCAGGCCGGGGCGATAAACGGCCTTGAGCCTGGCGAGGACGCACACATTTCAT